TGGGATAACTCCAGTTATAATTATACAACAGGGCCAATGAATTTTCAGCAGCCAATGAATTTTCAGCAGTATGAGTCTCAAGAACCGTCATCCATGTCAGGTATGTCTCTTGAAGAAATAGTTGAATTAATAGCTACTAACACATATCAAATTCAACAGGAGGTACATCAACTTCAACAGGAGACACAAAGGATGAGTAAAGAGATGAAAGAAGCAAGGCTTGAATGGGCATTTAAAACGAGCAAATTGATTTCTCCAGTTTATGAAGAATTGCCCTCACCGACTATTATCGACCATGAGGAAGATGAGAGTGCAATTATTCTGACGAATGCCATGGTACTGCAAGAGTTTCAAGAAGAAGAATCTAAAGATGCAGATGAAAAGAAAGTTGAAGCACAAGAATTGAGACCCCAACATCAAATGGTTCAAGTGAATGAATCCAGTGAACAATCTCCAAATGCGGTGACATCTCCTCCATTCCTTGATCAATATTTTCCTGACTCTTATTCTTTAATTCCTGTTAGTGAGATTGATTTTATTATACCAGACGATTTTGAATTTCATGCCAGGAATAAGTTAAGAATCACGATGGCAAAATATCTCAAACCAGTAAGTGCTTGTGATGGAGGAGTGAATAAAGATTTAAGGTCATTACTTGGTTATTTGGCGCAATCTACTGGTCCATGGAAGACCGTAGCTCGTGTGCTCAAGAACTACTCTATTTACGAGGGCTATCAGGAGTACATAGAAGATGAAGCACTGAAGCGAGCTACGCGATTTTATCCTCCATGAATAAACAGGACAATGTCTAGCCAAAGACATTAAAGAAAGGCGCTACTTGGGAGGCAACCCAAGACTATTTGTTTCAGTTTTCATGCATTTTTGAAGTTTTAGTTAAGTGTTAGTGTCAATTAATAGTTTGATGTTTGGTGGCATGAAATTAGTAGTTAGACGTGCCCACGCCAAGTGGTCACGCCTGAGGGAAAGAAATTTTCGTTCAGGATCTGCGGACTCTATAGCAGTTAGACGTGCTCGCGCCAGGTGGTCACGCCTGAGGGAAAGAAATTTTCGTTCAAGATCTGCGGACTCTGTAGCAGTTGAGCGTGCCCACGCTAGGTGGTCACGCTAACGGATCGAGAATTTTCGACGGATGGTCAAAAGACTAGGGGCAGTTAGGCGTGCCCATGCCTAAGCCAAAGGTTCCTTATTCTCAAAAAAAAAAAAAAAAAGAAAATTTTTTTTAAAAGGGCACGAAACCCTATTCTTTTCTTCTTCTTCTTTCTTTTCTTTTTCTTTCTTCTTCTTCCCTTTCCTCTGCTTTGTCTGCCGACGCGCCCCACCTGGCCGCATGCCGCCATTGCTGTCCGCCGCCGCCACTTTGCAACCCGCCAGCGCCACACGTCCGCTGCCACATTCCCTTCCCAGCCGTAGTTCAGTTCTGCCCTCCTCCATTTTAAGGGAAGTGTCGTTGCTCCAATATCTCTGTTTTGCTCTTTCTTTGCTTACATTGAGGGCAATGCAAGATTTAGGTGTGGGGGAGGTAGTATATTGGCATTTTATTGAAAAAGTGCAAGTGTAGGCATTTTTGTTGGAATTTTTTGTTTGACTTTGTCGAATTTTGTCCAATTTTTGCCTATCTTTGTGCTTATTTGTGGTTATTCCTGATAAACGATGGTTAGATGTCTCAAATTTTTCTATTGCTAAGATTTTACACTTTAAGGTGTTGAGTATGACATGGTTGATTTTAAGGGTATCTTTTGGGTGAATATTTGAGATTTTGTGACTTTTGCACATTTTGGTTAACTTTTCTAAGTATTGTAAATACTTGTCTAGCATTTTTTTTGTGCAAATTGGTTCAGCTATTAATCTTAGTTCTCCATGTTTAAGAAATGAAGCGGGTTTGTGTGGTATTTAATTTTATTTTTGGTGCTTGTTTATGAATAGTATTCAGCTATACTCCGCTAGTATCGTTGTCTAGTAATCGGAGGTCTTCACCACAAGTGTCGGCTTTCGCGTCAAAAAGTGACGATAACTATGAGTATGTGATTTTTAAGCGATGATGGCTGAGTAACCGGGCTCCTTCATGTGGCCAATGTCGGAGTTCGCGTCAAAACGCTCGAATGGCTGAAAACTAAGCATTCCCCCAAGAAAAAATAAAAAAATCAATCAAGTGGGGATATTAAAAAAAAAAAAGTGCTAATAGTGAAAAATATGAATGAATTGCTAGCCCGCTGACCCATGAATTTTATTGTTGAGATTTTGCTTAATAGTCGAACTATTTGCTCATGGATGCTGGTTGAATATTTTATATTCTTAGATTAGTTAGTCATAAATTGGAAGAGTTCTTAATCTTGAAGGCTAACTGGAGAGATATTGCTTGAGAAATTATCACTAATACTTGACATATGTTTTAATTGTATCTTGGCAATAGAAGATTTGAGCAATAGCTATTATTTGAATTTGATTTGTTGTTCTCATGCTTGAGGACAAGCATGGTTTAGGTGTGAGGGAAATTGATAGGTCATAATTTGTTGCTAAATTTATAATTATTTTTCCCTAGATTTTAGCCAAATATTATTTTAATTGATTGATTCTACTTATATTTGGTATTTGGTACTAATTGCAGGAATATGGAGCAAAAAGAGATAAAAAAATGTGATTTTTCAAGAGTTTTCTAATTCAAAATGGAGTCTACGTGGATTATTGACGGAAGATTAGGAGGAAGTCTATTTGGTTTCAAAAAGTTAAAAATTAGGAAAATCAATTCCTTCAATTTCGTGGCTACCAAAAGGAAAAAGAGGGAAGTATTAGACTCCTAGTAGGTCTACTTGGCTTGGCAGGAATTTCTGTTTGAATTTGCTAGGTGGGGACCATCGAGAGAAAGCCACGGTGGTGGACCTTTGTATTTGGACTTTGGCTAATTTGGACTAGAAACAAAATAGCATTGTAATTGGTCTTGATTTTGCTCCTTTAGCCGATCGAGAAAATAGGAAAAGGGAAGCCGGATCCCGCGCGATTAAGAGTTGAAGGCAGCAACAAATTCGGGAGGAGCAATTCGGCTGGCACTGAGGTCTTTGTACTTTTCCTTTTTAGCCGACCTTGGGGAGGACAATTGCTTGGGATTTTGGATTTTCGTCTTTTACTTTTCTTCTTTGGCCGATTTGGCCAGGAACAATTGTAAGCTTCAAATAGCTTTTCCGCGGGGGTTGTTCTCCATTAATGGAGGACTAACCTCCTACTGCTAGTCAAGGGGACAACTGAAGATTTGGTTCAACAATTACTGTGAGATCTAATTTATTTTAATTGCTTCCTTAATTTATTGGTATTTATATGTTTCCTGCTTTTAATTGCTATAGCTCGTGTGAGTGATTGAATAGATGCGCAATATTTAATTATTCACATAGGCTATTTTGCTAAATAGGGATAATTGAATCCGTAATTGTTCGTTATCTCTATCTTAGTAGCAACTGACGTAATTGGGTTTATGTCAGGGGAACATACGATCTAACTTAAACAAACCCTCTTAGCATGTTTGTTAGTTAGGATTGGGCCTTTCTAATTCTTAATGCAATCTAGAAATTAAATCCTACGGTCGTACCTAGGGTTGTTTTTGGGTTAGAGAAATAGTTAACGGTCGTACCTTAACTATCGAAAAAGTAAGGAAAGGTTGGTTGTTTATCGTGTGCATGACAACTATAACTAATCTATTAATAAATGTTAGAATTATCTGTGAATCAATGATCAGTGCCTGAACCATTTCTGAAGTGTACCCTTGGCTAGAGTTTCTTTTAGTTATTTCTCTTAATTAATTATTTTCTGCATTTAATTTGTTTAGTTAGCATTCAATCCAAAACGCCCCATACTTTGGACTCTAGAAGAAACGAATTATCCCCAGTCCCTGTGGATTCGACCCTACTCACCGCTATATACAAAATCTGTATTTTTCTCGAGTAGGTTTTTATTATTGCACAGGTTCGGCACCTGTCACAAGCATACATGGTCGATCGTAGTAAGGGTCAAACCCTCAGGGATGAGTTGATTTCCTTTACTTTAATTATTATAGGAAAATAATAAAATTCAAAGGATTTATTTTTAACTAATTAAAGAATAAAATAGATAATCACAATTAATAAATAAAGGTGAGAAAACAATGGGCAAGGACTAGGGATTCAAATTTTGATCGAGAGTTAGAAATAATTATCCAATTAATTTTTTAACAAGCCAAGAACGTATCACGCAAAGATACTTTAGATTATCTTTCGATACATCTAAATCGTGTCTAATTAAATCTCACGTTTCTCTCGAGATCATAAGTATTCAATTAAATCTTTTAAGATCTTAGGTGATATAATCACGTTATATATATCCTAACGCACTCTTGTGATTAGGTTGTGTATATTTACCTATCTAGTGCACGGTTGTATATTCTCTCTCAATTCAATAAAAATCCTAAGAGCATATCTATGGCGGCCAAACACAAACATGTAATTAAATTTAAACAGATAAATCAAGGCAAAAGTTAAGAATTTAACTTGGATAAATAATCAAAAGTCCTTCACAAATTCCTAACCTTAGAAACAAATTAGTTCATCATAATTGTAAGAGTAAATAAGAATTCAATATTGAAAAGTATAAGACTTAGAATAAAGAGCATGTAGAACTTTCCAGTTGACGACGAAACTCTCAATCCCACGCCTTGATCTCCAATTTCTTCTTGAAGGGGGCATCATAAATTGCAATCTCATCTTCATCAAAGCTTGATTGCAAGAGTGAGCGATATCTAGATTCCTTTCATTTGTTCATTTATTTTTCCACTAGACCTCGAAACAATAACCTTGAGTGTATTTCGATCTAAGATTATTTGAAAAAAAATTGCAGAATAATATTGTAATATTTTTTGCAATGTAATTTTTGTATGAGATAAAAAGGTAATTGAACAAAATAAAAAATGATAAAAAAATGCACTCTAATGCAATAGTTTTTTTTTTTTCAACTAACTTTCAATCCAAACACAACTTCTGCAACCTATCGTAAATTATCAAAGTATCCACCCCAATTCTAGGCATTTTCACCTGCAAATTCAGGAAAAAAAAAAAAAAAAAAGAGGTTGAGAGATCTGTTTGGGGTTTCCAATATCTTTAGTTTAGTATTTTCTATTTCCAATCCTCAAAAGTTGATAAATATATAAACATTCCAATTTTCTTTCATTTAAAACCAATAAGATTGATAAACCAACCTGAGCATGCAATATGTGATAAATTCTATCGGCCATAGTAGAAATGCTAATGCTGACTACTTCCACTCCTTGTCCATGAAGAACTAAGATGACTTCATGCAGCCCAAACTTCTTGCTTAAACCAGTTACTAAAACCACTTCTAAATTTGAACCAATTTCTGTGATTTTCACAACTGGAATTCCTGAGCCCGGGATCCCAGAAGTGTTAAATTTGTTGATTAGCATCTCTTTCATCTTCTTCAATTTCTCTACTCTTTCTCTTAATTGTGTGATATAAGCAGTAACCCGATGAAGCTGGTCTTTTGGGGAAAGTCGTTCCTGCATTTACCATGTAAGAGACTCTTAACTTTGTCAATGAATGCAACATAAACTAAATCCATGAGTATGACAAGCTTTGTGAAATTGAGATGTCCATAACATCACGTAATAAAAGATATTTTTCTTTTATATGTTTCTTCCATTTTGATGAGAAAAGAAGATTGTGGCACCATATTTGATATTGGTTACCCAAAATAAATGATAAATACCTTGTACGTAAAAGATATTCTTAATACAAAAGTACTCTTAGTACACGTAATGTTTGAACTTTTTTTTTAAGACAAAAGCAGTTCATAGGCCAAGACAATTACCCCGGTAACATGCTCATATTGATCAGCACAACATAGTTCATATTCCAAAAGAAGAGTAAAAATCAAAATTTCGAGAATAGTTTTGAAGCCTTGGATAAGATTAAAAAAATTTTACTTTTTTGTTTTAATTCTTTGATATTGGAACTGATCGCAAAAGAAAAATGGTTATTCACAAATGTAGAATAATTTCTTATCGTCGATAGATGATTTTACGTTTGGGTCCATTTCTTACTGATGGATCCTGGGCAAACTTTTCAATCATAGGGACAACAAAATATGGGTTTAACAAAACCCTAAAAGTTTAAAGTTCCAAAAATAGTGTACTGCAATGTCTAAAGTAAAACGGTTGTAGAACAATATTTTCATTATAGATACTTCCCTCAACATTTCTTGTAAACTAGATTCAATTGAATATTCATCTCTAAGAAATAAAAAAAAAATTCAATAGTCATTGGTGAAAAGGAGAGTTGTTAATTGTAGCAAATGCAATAGATCTTCCCACATCTAAAACCCTAATTTTCCTCCTAACTAATAAACCATCACCGCAACTATGATTCAATCATGAGCAGACCAAAGAAATTTAGTCATGCTTAGGTGGTTTTCAATCTTCTTTTTTTTCTCCTTATCTATTCTTCTACTATTCGTTAATCCTCTTCCTTTTTCCCTCAAAATTACAGATCCAATAGTCATCATCATGAACAATCAAATTAAAAGCTATCAACCATGCATGGCCTAATTTACCAAGATTTTATAGTCCGCGTGCTCTTATATCTATTCTTTGAACTTGCTTATCTAACATATTAGTAGTTCCATGGCTCCAGATAGACCTTCTGGCCTCTTTCTTTTTCTTTTGGGCAGAAAATCCAAATAAAATCTAGTGGTTGCCCCTGCCTCATCTTGCCGGAACCCGAGGCCTGACTTTAGTGCATATTAAGCCTTAAAATTACTTATTTTCCAGCAAGCAATACCAGATGAAATATTGATATCCAAAACTAATTGAAATATGATGGACTATGAGCTAAAAAGCCCTAGTGGCTGACACAATTTCAGGTAAATTTCCAATGGAATCTAGGCTAAACTAATTAATGAAAGACTTGCCCCCCCCCCCCTCCCCCGGTTTTTTGCACTACATCTTCGGCCATCCACCTTGATTCTCAACCTTTGTATTCTTTAAATCCGTTTCAAACGTCAAAACCTAGTAACCTTTCATTCCAAAAGCAAAAGTAAAATCCATTATTCATCTCAAAAGGAGAAAAACTATAAATTACAAAAAAAAAAAAAATTTCTAGGCACAAGATAGAAAGCAAAAAAAAAAAAAAAAGAGGGAGCACCTTGGAAGGATTAAACTGCTGAGGAACAAGAGATATAAGCTCAAGAATGGAACTTTTCATCCGAATTCTTCGGTTCCTCTCAGTAGTCTTCCTATCAAGCTTTGTTGTAGCATCACTAGCATTGTAACTCTCCATGGCCCTACTTAAAAATCTCTGTAAACCCCTCTTTAATAGAACAAGAAAATATCAATTCAAATTACGCAAATTAATGTAAAAAGGGAGAATAGTAAATTAAGAATAATTTGTGTTGAAGAATGTTATACAGAGCTTTAATACCTAAGAATGGCAAGTTCATTTTATAGACAACTGGTGTCCCATTTGATGCCCGTAATTATTGAAGTGTGAAATTGATGTTTAGTTATTCGGCAAGAATGAAGAAAGCATCTCTCGGGGATTTGAAATCAAGGACCTGCCAGCCAAGTCTGACCCATAATAGGATTTTGAGAGTGACATTTTACTTTAAGGTCCACGGTCTTTACCCCGTCGTAATTGTGCAAATGTATGTACCAATGTACACTTATGCTAAAAGCAAAAAACATTTACGCTAATAAATATTAAGAGTAGAAGCTTAAACAACAAAGGGCAAACAATAACATATATATATATATATATATATATATATATATATAACAAACTTAGCTTTTCATTAAAGTGAAAACAAGAGAACTCAACAAGTACAGACGAGCTGCATATTACAACAAATGCCCAAAATAGTACCTACTAGATTTACAATGTAAAGAAAATGATTTCAAAGACAAACTAAGGCCCAATTTGGATTGTTATTTTTCAGAGTTTTTGTAGAAAAATATATTGTAACGATTTGATATATATAAGTTAAAAAGATAATTGGCAAATGTGTTCATGAAAAATGTAAAAAAATTTTTACAAAAAATCGATCGAAAGAAATTGAAGACTATGTAAGTCACAATAATACAAAATTCCCAATTTCTCTTGCTTCTTTCAACATTCTTGCAATTCATTAGTGAGAATTTCATATCACTAATCATTCTTTAAACCAGATTTAGGACATTTGAAGAATTTTTTTAATTACTGATAGACTTTAGTCACTTCATATGTCCATTAAATTAAATTTCAAAATAAAAAAGCAAAATAGTAGCTAACTTTAAACAACAAAATTAAGAACTAAAAACAAATGTATTAACTAATTAACTAGTAAAAAGGAAGAAAAAATTTAAATAAAAAATTAAAACTAGTCAGAGCACCTAGTTCATTGATTCAAAACTCATTTTCACTCTCTATCTCCATTGTCCCTAAAGAAAAAATCATAATACTTAATTTTTTCATATAGATTAACAAATTCCCTTTCTTTTTTTTTTTTTTTGAGTTTCTTGATTAATTAGTTACTAATATGCCATCATGTGAGTTATTATTACTAGTGCTTAGGGCACACCCAATGTGTGTGTAGTATAGAAATAATTATTGATTTTTATGAATATATTAATTTTGCTTTTACAAAATTAATTTTTTAATAAATTCATCATAAAAATTACAATTTATTAGTAATTTTTCCTTTAATACAGTTATAGATAATTTGGCAGTTACAACATTTAAGGAAGTTAATGGAGCTTATATTAACAAATGTAATTAAATGGTTAATTAGGGTAAAATTGATTTTTTATGACAAAATATTTACCTCAACTGCCACCTCTCTCCTTTTATTATTGTATAGATTGTTCAAGATTTGCTCACTATTTTTCTTCTTTTTTAAGAAGTTTAATTCAATAAACATGGGATTGCACTAATTCTGTCGATATTTGTGAAAATCTGTTGTTATGCTTCAAATTGGTAACCACGGGGATCAGATTTGTTTATATTGAAACTTTAAGAACTCAAATTGCACTAGGTGTCAAACATTAGGGACTAGAGATCTGTTTTTGTCAGAACGTTAGAGACCAAAATTTTGTAGGTACCAAATATTAAGAACCAACACTGCATTTCTTACCTAGTTCTTTCCTGGAATTACTGTGCCCTGGTACAGACTGGTACGCGGCATGGGATACCTCTGTCAAGGTATGCTTCCATACTTTGAATGTTTATTTGGCAAAAATTGACAACTAAGGATCGTTTGAGAAAGTTGGGGTCTCCAAATGTTTCTCCTGTTTGTGTACTATGCAATGAGCAGGACGAGAGTTAAGGTCGTTTGTTTTTTGATTGTGGTTTCTCACGTTGTATCCGGGACAAGGTTCAAAGAATATGTTTACTATAACGAGGTAATATGACTTGGTATCAAGAATTGCAATGGAGCAAACTAAGCTTAGAAGACTGGTCATGGTAATGACCATCTGGCACATTTGGCAAACTCGAAACAGGAGGATATTTCAGCGTACTGCCGTCTCTTCTGTGCGAGTGGTGGCTGATGTGATACCGGTGGCTCAAATGGTTGCACGTTCATTTTACTAATATTACTTTCTTTAAGGAAAACCAGGAGTCTATGATTGAATGGGGAACTGATCATGTCAGTTTACACAGATGGGGAACCGATCGGCTGAGATTAGGCACCAGCACCCGATACTGGTAACAAGAATCAGCAGAGCATTTGTTGTTGTGAGACTTGTGATTGCCATTCCTATCTTTGGCGTGGAATTTTGACTCTTTGCGCCTGACATTACTGTCCCAATTATCAATTACATTTGAAGCCCGGCTCTTTGGTACTATCGATTGAAATGACTCTTTAGCTGGAGCCGTACGGATGTTCCCAATACGGTTAAAAGCCAAACGAGTGGGGCCCGCTCGTTTAAAACTTAAAAGGTTATCGGGGACCACAGGCGACTAAAGGCAAAGGGCTGCTCCTTTTTTAAAACTTTAAGGGGTAGACGAACGGGACCGGTTGACATGAAGCTGCGGGCAGAAACAAGTAGGGGTGGTAATTCCTAACACGATCCGAAAATACGATACGAATCTAACACGAAACTAATAGATTTGGGTTGAAGTTTCGAGAGTTCGGGTCAGAATCGGGTCGAACCCGATGAACTCAAAAAGAAAACAAGTCAATTTCGGGTCAACCCGTGGTAACCTGATATGACCCGATGTGACCCGTTTACGAATTAAAACTAATTTAATAAACATAAAAATTATTTTATCTAACTAAACTAAATCATTTTTTTTCCAAAGGCATTAATTACTTAATTCTAAATGAATTTATTTAACTTGTGTGAAGTTAAAATTATTATATTTGGACAAATAATATATTATGTTATTTTTTACTTTTATGCTGTTTTAATTTATTTTATATTTGGTTTGGGATAAAACACTTTTATGGTGTTTAATTTATTTTAGATTTGATTTGAAATTATTTATTTAAATTTTTATTACTTGATGATGTAATTAATTTTTGTGAAAAATTGATTTTATTAGAAATTACAGTGATAAATTAATAAATTAAAATTAAGTTTCGGGTTATTTCGGGTCGACCCGCCAACTCGAAATTTTCGGGTTCGTGTCAGGTACCCTGACCCGTTTTGGGTTAGCGGGTCGGGTTCGGGTCAGCAGGTTCTTTGTTATACTTAAGCCTTAACCCGACCCGACCCGTCAACCCGAACCCGACCCGATTGTCACCCCTAGAAACAAGTACGTCTGCGCAATAAGAAGATGGAATTCTACTTTGTGAAATGACTAAGGTGTCAGGAACAACGTTCATACGTAGTCGTTCTAATGAGTCTAGCTAAACGATGCAGCTGCAAGAGAAACGGTGTCGCTTTACTTAAAAGATGTTAGTTAGTCGGTTGCATTAGATTATAAATAAGGAGCTCTGTGATTGGTCAGGGCATCTGATTGTAATAACAAATTTCTGTTACATTCCCTCCTCTTCCTTCTCATTCTTGATTCTCTCTCTCCCTCCAATTCCCAAATCTGGTCAATCAAAACCCTGACAAAGTGGTATCAGAGCTATCGATCCTTGGTAGCTCCAATGGCGGAAGGAACTCGCCTAAAATCCTTGGAAGAACACGTGAAGAAGCAGGAAGCAAGACTACAAGAGGCTATGGAGGCATTTCACTCTTCTCAGCAGCAATTTCGAGCTGATTTTGGTAGTGAGGTCAAAGTAGAAATGAAAAATTCCAACATGAAGTTGGAGAAACTGGAGGTGGCGATGAGCGGATTGGAGCTGAAATTCAACTCCTTCCTACAGATGATGATGAACAGAGAAAGGAGCATTGTGGAGGAGGCAAGAGAAGGACCACTGCTACCTACTCCACCGCCTCAACATAGGATCAACAAGGGAGGCGAAAGCAATGGAGACTTCACCAGAAGAGAGGAAGGTAGGATCTATGCACCTCTTCCTCCTAGACTAGAGTTACCTCTTTTTCATGGAGAAAATCCACAGGAATGGCTAAGAAAATGTAATAAGTATTTTCTGAACTATCATATTCCTGAGAATCAGAAGGTAGATGTAATCGAGATGTTTTTAGAGGGAAAGGCAGATAGATGGTTTCAAGGCCTTAAGATGGAAAGGACAGGCCTCAGTTGGACAGAATTTGAGGAATTTTTGTGCAAGAGGTTTGGTAACAAAATTTGTAAAGATATAGTGGAAGAATTTAACAAGATCCAGCAGGTTGGGAGTGTTGAGGACTATCAGGAAAAGTTTGAGGAGCTCAAGCCATTAATGCTGATGAAAAATCCCCAATTAGATGAAGGATACTTTGTGTCAAGCTTCATTAGTGGACTTAAGGAAGAAATTAAACCAATTCTCAGGATGCTTAAGCCTACAGAACTGTCTACCTATGAAATGGCCCAACTACAGGAGTACTCCTTGCAGTTGCAGAACAGACAAGGAAGGGAAGTGCAGAAAAATCTAGTGGAAAATAAGTTCGGCATGCACAAGAGTCAGCCTCCAAGCACCAACTCAGGCAATCTATATAGGATTCCCCCTGTTAACCAGCACAAGTTTTCCAATGCAAGAAGGACAGCTCCAGATAACAATTCCACTAGGAGGATTTCACCACAGGAAATTTAGTACAGAAGGAACAATGGACTGTGCTTTAGTGTGGGGAGAAGTACGGAGCTGGGCATCGGTGTAAAATGGGACACCTAAACTTCTTCCTTGGGGATGAAGAAGAGGACACGGAATTTGAGGATGCAGTGGGGGAACAGGATGAGCACACTGAAAATTCAGGAAC